TAAAACGGCTCGTTTTAACACGCCCCCACATGTCTAAGTCACGATGTGGGAAGATTTGCATAACGCCGCCCAAATGTTCACGCAAAGAAAGAAGGCATAACTTTTATTCTCACTGTAGTATTGTTGCCACTTTCCGCCTTGCCCTGAAGACGCTGTGTGCTTCGTTGTGAAAGCGAAACTACTTTGTTTGGTCTTCCAAAAGAGGACGATATCCGCTTCGTCATGCCTAGAGCTGATCCGTGCTGGTCGCTGAGGGAATACATCAACTTAGTGCTGTGGATCGCCGGATCGGCTTTCACCGTGGACGAAGCCCGGGGTCGTCACATGTGCTTGCCGCTCCTTCGTCGGATCCGCCGGCTGTGCCGTTCTCAACCCCGCCACCTCTGCTCACTCTAGCCCGGCCTCAGCTCACGCTAAGCCGGGGCTTCTGCTAGGCCGCTGTGGGCTTTCACGTTGAGCAGCATTAACTGCACAGAGCCGTTGTTCACTGACGAGCTGCGCAAAAAATCGCGTGAATATGAACGTGGTTTTGCGCAGCTCGTCAGTAAACAACGGCTCTGTGTAGTTAATGCTGCTCAATGTGAAAGCCCGCAGGTGATGGAGATTTACCGCTGATTACAGAACCGGCTTTACTGATAAGATGCGCGTTAAATATCGCATGCGATTTATTGTGCAGCCCTAGTTTATATTAAACCTTTTATTGCATATAATGTATAGCATAGCCTACATAGATACATTCTTCAGTTTGCACACTGTTTGAAGGACAACACTGGGCAGGATGTTAAAAATAAAAAAACTGAAAATTAAAAATTTACTTTTAAGCAGATAAGATTAATTGAAGACAGATTAATTGATTAGGCTAATCAAAATAGTCATTAGTCACAGCCCTACTTATAACTGTATGTTTGCCAAGTAGCAGCCAACAGTTGATGACATTTCAAAAAGCCCAGTCTTTCTCATTCGTTTCCTTTTTTTTTTTTTTTGCCCATACCAAATCTAACGCAATAATGAAATGCCAAAGATTCCAAGACAGAAGTGTGTTGTGCATAAGAATTTCTGGGAAAAGAGAAGTTGTTATATGACTGACAGAACATTGAAACTACTAATCACCAATCTAACAAGTAGCCTTTATGAACAAGGTTGATAGTGATGTTTTAGTACTAAGACATATGTGAGGTCTGTGGACACACACACACACACGATTCCCTCTGCATGACTGAGTTTGTGTTAATGCATAACTAGAGCAGCCTTGTTAATGCTGGTAAACTTTTTAAATGTTGCAAATTAACTGAGACCATACACAGCTTCTAGGAATGGTTCAATGTACGGCCTTCAGCACGTACTGATGCAGCAATATCCAGCCTTATAAGAAACTTGTTGGCAAAGCCTTTGCCCATATAAAAATAGTTTCTGGAAAAATTGAATAAATGTGCGGTGAACCTCACACATTAACTGCAAGCTTCAAAGGTGTTGATTTTCAGCTCTTTGAGCATCATTTAGCTCAGTGTATCTTAAGAGTTACTTCAGGACACAACTTTTACAGTAGCAGTGTTTATGGTACAAAAGTAAACAAAAATGTAAAACCAATATTGACAATATCAAACAGTAATATATTGTAGTAGTTATCATTATTATCATAAACAGCATTGGCCTCAAATTTTGGAAACTGATTGGGCTTAATAGTAAAATTGACAATTTTGTCAATGCCTACAACAGCAAATGAGTGATTTATCAGTACGGAACAAACACTAGGTGAAATAAAGTATTAGTTTTAGCCAAATTACCAAGTGACATGGATTTGTACCGTTTGTACAAGTAGTCATTGCCATCAACAACAAAAGATTGAGAGAACGCTTTTTGTTCCTTTTCAAAAGCCTGTTTATTTTGCTATCATAAGTATGCATGGTTAAATGCTTGCTTGCATTTTATTATTTGTATTTAGCAATTTTTCCACTACTGTCCATTGCCCTTTCAGAACAGACCTGTCACCCACTGGCACTTGTGGATCTTTTTCATAAAGACATTGGACATTTTATTGTATATCCTTCAATGACCTGCATAAATGTACGCCTTCACAAACGTGTTTCTTCTACCTGTCTATGCAGTGGGCCAGCATGAGTTGACCAAGCACCAGGTGGCGGTAAAGATTCTGAACCGGCAGAAGATCCGCAGTCTGGATGTTGTGGGGAAGATTCGACGCGAGATCCAGAACCTCAAACTCTTCCGTCACCCACATATAATCAAACTGTAATTACTGATTCATTCCACCTGCATTCTAATACACAGATTATGAATTTACAATGTTCTTTTTGGGGGCTAGAATGTGCAACTTTTTTTGACCTACTCGTAATTGTTTTTAGTTTTTTTTTTATATATATATATATATATATGTTAGGGGTGTAACGGTACACGTATTCGTACCGAACCGTTTCGGTACGGGTCTTTCGGTTCGGTACGCATGTGAACCATATATATATATATATGCATATGCAAGTATGTAAGATTGATGTGTGTGCAAATGAGCCCCTACATTTGTATGGAAATCTTGGTTGGCTTCCCTAGTGACTAGGGCTGGGTAAAAAATATCGATATCTCGGTTATAATCGATTCTCAGTTTTACGAAACAATATCGATTCTTAAATCCCAAGAATCGATTAGTCTAAGTCTAGCCTGTTTTCAGTTAATGGACGGAGTGTTGAAGGGCACTTCCCATCCAATAAATCGCAATAAGCATTGTGCTTTGGTACTTTTAATAAGAAACAAAGTCTCAGATTTCAAATTCTGTCCATTGTATTGCAGTATTTAAAGGGGTCATATGATGTTGCTAAAAAGAACATTATTTTGTGTATTTGGTGTAATGAAATGTGTCTAGAGTGAGCGGCGGCAGCCTACAGTGGGCAGAGGCCGGGGGCTAGCGTGAGGAACGGCCGGAGGGCTAGAGTGAGCAGAGGCGGCGGGCTTGAGAATGGCGCGGCCGGCGGATTGAACAAAGGAGTGTCCGGAGGGCTTGCGGCAAACACGTGACGACCCCGGGCTGGCGCTTCGTCCACGGTGAAAGCTGATCCGGTGATCCACAGCGCAAAGTTGTTGTATTTCCTCAGCGACCAGCACGGATCAGCTCGTAGAGAGGGGCATTTTGTTAAATATATGCACCATATAACATATTCATTATATTTTTTACTGTTCTTCAATGTTTAATTTATGTTTGAATAAATCCATCAAGTTTTTATGTCAGCCACCATTTAAATGTTTATATTTAAAAAAAACGAATTGAAGTAGAAATATTATGTAATTGTAACTTTTATTATAAAAACTTAATTAAGTGTAATTTAAGCAGTTGTATAGCCTAAAATATCTGTCAGGTTTAACCTTCAATATTATAGTAATGTAGTACCAACTGACTCTCATGTATATTTTACAGCATTATTTGAGAGATTTTTTTTTTCCTTGAGAATTTTGCATGTGTGCCAGATATATATCCAAAATAATCGATATTGAATCGAATCGAATCGCAAGCTTTGGAATGAGAATCGAATCGAATTGTGAAATTTGTGTCAAAACTCAGCCCTACAATTTACCTTTCAAAAGCTGTAGATCAGAGATAGATAGATAGATGGTTTCTGAAGGATCAAGTGACACTGCTTTTGTGACCATGCTTGCGGTTTTCTTCTGTTTTTGTGGTTTGGCATGAGGCAAGACATTCACAGAATTACAGAGCATGGGAAAGAGGAAGGGGATTTCCATTTCCTGCCATTATAGAGAAGCAGTAAAGTTTTGATGTTCTGTCTAAACCAGTGGTTTCCAAACATTTTGCAAACTTTTGCCACTGTAGCTAGTGGTTTTTGTTGTTGGGAAATTACATTTGATATGATTAAAGTTAGTGCTGGGCGGTATACCGGTTCATACCGAATACCGGTGTTTATTTTTGTTATGATATGAATTTTTAAAATACCGCAATACCACAATGTTGCTTAAACAACCTTCGAAACGCGACACTGTTTGAAAGGGGTCCTTTTTAACTGTTGCACTGTGGTGAGGGAACAGCTGTATGTGTTACTAAGCGTGAAAGTTCCGAAACTGAAGCTGTAGAACTAATAGAACGTGATGACACAGAAGAACTCATCCACAATATCCACATTGACTGCCACAAATATCCACCGCCCCCTGCCATCAGCTCCCGCGTCTCACACACACACGAGCGCGACTTTAGCACTAGATTTAGCAACTTTCAGACCCTTTTAGCTGCTTTTTTCCATAGAATATTCATACTGACAAACCTAGCGACTTTTTTGGATAAACCTTAGCTATGGTTCAGTTGGAAGATTTCGCCAGTGCTGTCCCACGAACGTGAGGTCTGACTTTCCCGGAGAAGTGTCACCTCTTTCGGCGTCTGTTCTGTGCAGTAGAGGTCTTCACGGGTCCACTTGTATCCGAAAACCCATGGTCCGACCCGAGACCCGAGCGGGTTCGGGTCCAAAACTTCGACGAGTACCTCGGCCACGGGTCAGGTTCGGTATTAGCGGCCTCGGGGCTCGGGTAATTTAAAATAAACATGCTTTTTCCAAATGGACCCGGTTACACCCGAATTCTTTTAAACTATCCCGAATGCGTTGGCTACTTTCACTTTCGTGTTAAGTGAGGAACGCACATAGAAAAGAAGCATACGTTTATAACCTCGCACACAGAAATCATCTTATAGATATGAGATCCATCAGGAAAATCCACTCGCTTCATTATGCTGCGTGTTCATGCAGGGCTTTTCTTTTTTGTGTGCAGAAGCCTTTCGCCGCAGATCAGGTTGCAGACAACAGCGAATCCATGATTAGGCTATCGATTTATTTTTTTATCAAACTATCACGTTTATTTTTCAAATCCACTGGTCATAATTGGAAGCGGAGCTCAGAACCTTGTATCCATCAGGCAGGCACTAATATAAAGTAACCTAATAATAAATTGAATAAATGTTAAATAAATCAAAGTAATGGAGAAGAGGCCAAATCAGTCAACAGAACACCGGGAGTTTTCCAGACTGACTGTGGGGCTGCATGCTGTACACACGTCAATGCCGTTTACGTTCGGGTCCAGTCGGGTTCGAAAATAAATGCCGTCGTGTTGGACTCGAGTCTAATTTCATCGGGTCTGTCTCGGGTCGGGTTTTTCTTATGAAATATGAAATGTTGGGAAAAAATGCGAAGATAAGCTACTTTTAAATAAGAAAGTAAACCGCCGCTAGGTGACAGCAAGTGACTGTCTAAATGAGTGATTGAGGCGTTCATTCAAATGATTCGTTCAGACGGCTGATTCATTCAATAATGAAGCAAGTGCCTGTCTTTATGAATGGACCACTGAATCATTGACTCAAATGATTAATTCAAAAACGCTGAATCATTCAGTAACGGCACCGCTATGTGTTGCTCAGATATGCACAACTGTTCTGCTGTGATCTTTGTTTGGAGCTATTTTCGTTAACCAAATCAAGCAAAAACAGTCAACATTGACAATACTGTACTAAAATGTAAGTCACTTAATATTAACTTGCTCATTTGAACTCTTGTATAAAGTCAATGTCAAATTTGCAGTCATGATTTTCAGGGAAAACTGCACTTTCTTGGTTGTGTCATGTTGCTTAACTAGACTATATACATTTTTACTGCAGCATGTTTCTTCTGTGTGCAGTTGTTCATTTGTTTTGATTTCTCCATGAGATTGTTTCACACACAGACAGGCTTGACCGTGTTACCCGCCACTGCTGAAATCCACCTACATTTGACGGATCTTAATGTCAAACCTTGACTGTATATTAGAAAGCATCAATTTCAGTTATAAATAAAAAGAATATTTAAGAATACTATAACTTACTATAATTTTTAGTGAGATGGATGGGCCTGCATGTTTGCACACAGATCATCAAATTCCTTCTCTTGCACACCCCTGGTGGTCAGTCTACTCTGTCACCTTGTTTGTTGTGTGTCTGCGTGTGTACATGTGAGCTGTTTGTATGTACTGTGGCTAGAAAAGACACAGGAATGTCAGAGCTATCCAGCCATGCTTCAAAACCATTAGGGATTAATTGACTTTTCTCATATGAATAGTGAAAATAGTAGAAGTGAAGAAACTAAAAATCTAAGCCTTGAAATATGCCTTAATTCATCACTAAATCAGTACTAGGTAGGAAAAGTTCAGTTTATTCATTTATTTATTTTAATGAATGATTCAAATATTTTGTACATATTTAAGATTTTTTTCAGCTTAGATGCATTTCACTATGACTACACTGACAGAACCAATGACATGCATTCTGTTTTTTTGGCAGTTACCAAGTCATCAGCACACCAACAGACATCTTCATGGTAATGGAATATGTGTCAGGAGGAGAACTCTTTGACTACATCTGTAAAAATGGAAAGGTACATCTTCAGTTTTAATTTGTGGGTTATGATTAGGGCCAGAAAATGGAGTAGAAAAATCCTAAATAGAATGCAAGTAATTTGCTATTTGTTTAAATTAACTTTAACTTTAATGCCATTGGCATAAAAAAAGACTAGTCCCTTACATTAATTTATTACAGTTCATCTGAACAAGTGTTGCTTGAGGAATAATCTTTTCCAATCTTGCCAGAATAAGTCAATTAATCTCAGTGTTTTTGTGAGACTGTGGAGGGTCCTAATTTCTACACTTGCAAGCAGGGGCCTAAAACTGACTTTTTGCCACACCTGCCAATGGCTGTTGACTTGAGAAAATTTACCGGCCATAATAATTTTTTCCTGGCCATGAAACTGTAAAAACGGGCAGTTGTTTTTACTACAACAACATATTTAATTAAAAAAAAATTTGAAATTAGCATTTTAATCAGGATACAAACAAAGATGCTACACACATGTAGCATGAGCCGTTTTTGATTTAAATTTGATTGTATCATTTCAACATTTGAAGCAAAAACAGAATGGTCTGACTTTAGCTTTGTGAAATTATGCTAAAACATTACCTGCACGAAACAAAAACAGCAGACAGGCTTGAATGAGAATGCAAGTTCACTCTCTGACAGCAGGTGGCGCTTATGGAACAGCAGTGATAAGAGGGGAAAAAATGCCATCGAAACTTTTCTTAAGACAGTCAGTTCCCTTCAGAAATACATTCATATAAACCCCCATCCCAATATTTTTCTTCTAATAAACAGTGAGCTTGCTGTGCCTGTTCAGTATTTTCTTTGTGCGAGTCAGTTAATTTTAGGCTTGCTTGCAAGAGATAAACCCTTGAGCTTTTATTTTGAAGGAAACTGCAGCTGAACTTTTATTTTTGCGGAAAACTCCAGCTTCTGTGAAAACAGGTTTACAAACGTGTCTCATTACTAATCTAGTAAAATACTGTAATCATCTGCCCATTACAATGTTGAAAGTTATGCGAATGTGAAAACAAAGTGTAACCGGTGCCCATTGCGTTCCCAGATGTGCTCTAAATTCACAGCACATGCAGAAATAGAGTTCACTGAATTCACTTTGAACGGAGCCATTCTGAGACGCTTTATTCAACAAGCATTAAATTGGTAAAAAATGACAGAAAAGACTTTTACGTTGTAAAAAAATGTTATTCTTTTGAACTTTTTATGCATCAGAAAATCCTGAAAAATGCATCAATTTATACAACAATATTAAGTGGCACAACTGTTTTCAACATTGATGATAATAAGAAATGTTAATTGAGCATAAAATCAGCTTATTAGAATGATTTCTGAAGGATCGTGTGACACTGAAGAATGGAGTAATGGCTGCAGAAAATTAAGCTTTGCCATCACAGGAATTAATTACATCAACAACAAAAAAAACCTTACTGACCCCAAACTTTTGATCAGTAGCATATATCAGGGGCCACAAAAACGGCACAGTAGGTTGCAAATAGGAGAACTTTAAACTGAATGTTCAGTTCAGTCCACATAGGAGATGTAAAAATACATGTTCCTGTGTCTCTGGTCAGTTGGACGAGAAGGAGAGCAGGCGTCTGTTCCAGCAGATCATCTCAGGGGTGGATTACTGCCACAGACACATGGTGGTGCACAGAGACCTCAAGCCTGAGAACGTCCTGCTGGATGCACACATGAATGCCAAAATTGCAGACTTTGGTATGTGAACTCTTTATATTTAAGAAACATGAAACAAGTTAGTTTGTTGTTGGATTTGCGCTTTCTTTAATGTGTCTATATTACTTAAACTTTGACTTTTCTTCATGTAGGCTTGTCAAACATGATGTCGGATGGAGAATTCTTAAGAACGAGTTGTGGTTCTCCTAATTATGCTGCTCCGGAAGTCATCTCTGGAAGGTACTGTTTACCTCTGCTGCTGTATTTCCGTTTTTTTTTTTTTTTTTTTTTATTATCTCAAAAACCTGCTCTCGTCCTCAAAGATAATGCTCTGTGTTGTTTAAAATGCCTTCGTGTTGTCCGTTCATTTATATTTTCTTGCTGTTCTCACCCAGATTATACGCAGGGCCTGAGGTGGACATCTGGAGCAGTGGTGTGATTTTGTATGCTCTGCTATGCGGGACGCTGCCGTTTGACGACGACCACGTGCCAACACTGTTCAAGAAGATCTGCGATGGGATCTTCTTCACTCCTCAGTACCTGAACCCCTCTGTTATTAGCCTTCTGAAACACATGCTCCTGGTGGACCCCATGAAGAGAGCCACCATTAAAGAGATTCGGTCAGAAACTACACAAACATTTGTGCAGTCCATTTCTTTTGGTAATGCCAAGTGCAAATCTTATCTCTTTTTCTGTTCATTGCTCTCCATTCTCAGGGAGGATGAGTGGTTTAAACAAGATCTCCCCAAGTATCTGTTCCCAGAGGACGCTGCATATAGCAGTAATATGACTGATGAGGAGGCGCTGAAGGAGGTGTGTGAGAAGTTTGAGTGCACTGAGGAGGAGGTGCTGAACTGCTTGTACAGGTTTGTGTGCTTTTTTTGTTTTTGAATCACGTTTTGTTACTTTTGCTTTTTTTGTTACTTGCTATTAGGCTTGGGCCGATTACCGGTTTCAAGGTATACCGTGATTTGAAAATTTCACGGTTTCAAAACCACTAATATTTTCCGTTATACCGTTCCTGCGGTATGCGCTGTTTTTTTATGTCTCCTCAAAGACTGAAAGTGTAGGAATCCCTCAGGTTGAGTGCAGTGTAGAGAGTAACACGACCCTCCTCCTGTTGATGCGAGCGAGCGGTCAGTCACGTGTGTGTAGGATGGCCGAACTTAAGGAGCTGCCCCTGGAACTTACGCGACTGGCAACTGGCCAGTTTTTTGTCTTATTGCAACTCGTCTCTGTTCTGGACTTGCACAAACTGCGTTGCAATGCAATCATTTTCCAAAATGTAATTTATGTGAAAATATGAAGTTTGTAAACGCCCGTTAACAGAGGCCTGTCTGTGTCTCGCTGAAGACGGACGCAGAGAAAAATACTGTAGCAGGAAGATCACCCACTGTTCATGATGCACGAAATATTGGAAGAAAATCCTATAATTCACGTGTTTCAGCGCAGTGCTGCTTTGTTTACAGCAGTAACCAAGGAAATGCTGTATCTGGTGTATCTGGTGTGCCTCCTGCTGTCAGAGAGTGAATCTGCATCTCATTCAGAGCTCCTGCTGTTTGCTTCGTTCAGGCATTTAGTATAATTTCACAAAGCTAGTCAGAACAGAACATTCTGTTTTTGCTTCAAATT